GGCATTTCAGTAAAAACTCACCCGTAAACCAAGATGATCATCAGAAAACCCGGTTAACTTATCACCTGTCGCAACAACATTATAATCAATATTTGGGAGCGAACGAATCAAGGCAAGGCAAACATCGTCTGAACGTAAATCAGCATAGTTGAAGAAGGCTTGTCCATGACGACTCGCCAATAAACCATACTTGCATCTAGAACAGTAAACATCAACGAGACACTTCACTTATCAATATGCAGCCATGCTCATTAGCGCAACGGTGTCCAGAACTAAAAACTTTGCAACGAAACAATTCGTCCAAAAGACAGGAACAAGAATCATAAAAGCTGCTTTCATAAATTTTATCCCAGAAATGATATAAATCAAAACAAAAGGATAAACACCATCCAAGCTGAATCAAATACTAAGTCTGAAATCAAAAGTACAGCAAAGCGTCAAAACAAAAAAACTAAGACGCAATCTCCTCAGCGTCATCAACAATCTTAACGGCCCGCTCAGAATGACCTCGGCCGCGCTGTTCGACGAATCACCATCGCTCGAGGAATCAGAAGAATTCGAACCCGAAGCGGCATCCAATTCAGTAGTTCGATCTTCGGTGGTACTAATGAGAGATGGCTTAAGAATATCCTCGAGTTCGCGCACATGATTGGCAAACACCTTATCAGCAAGTACCAGGACCGCCTCCGGCTTCTTGAGGGCAACGAGCTCATCGCCAAGGTTAGGCGCCTCGTCACTCTGAAGCAATTTCACGAACTCAATGTTATTCCAGACTTCAGCAAGATCAATTATGTCAATCCTCGGCTGACCATTGATCGCTCCGACCTTCTCTCTAGCACAGATGATCCTCGCCTCGTACTTCGACTCCAGTTCGCGCCTCGCTTCGTCCACAGCCCGAAGTACAGCCGTATCTTGAAGCTCGGAATCAAAATCTAAGCGGGCGGTAAGATCAGAGACTTCCTTCTGAAGACGCATCCTCTCAGATTCAGACTCTGTGAACGTACCATCCATCTCGCGACTCCTTTCCTCGATTTTGCTCATAGCAGCTTCGAGAGTAGCAACGCGATCCTCTGCATCCCTTTTCTGCCTCTTATGGTTGTCACAAGCCTTCTGAACATTACTAAGCAGGCGATTCTGCGAGCGAACTGTCACTTTGTAGTCAATGGCGAGTTTGTTGAACGACGAAAGGAACTGCAAAAACAAAGAAAAAGTTAGAAAAAATAGCAATGAGAAAGAAGAAAAATCACTATCTTACAATAAAGTCGCGAAGTCTTACTATCATACAATGAAGAGCCATAGTTGAGTAAGAATCTTCCTTCGACATATCTCTTGGAGGCGGAAACTCAGTGTCCGGAAAGACGATCTTAGATAGATGCGATGCTGCCGTCGCAGTATCACCAAAAGGAATAGTCAAAGTCGCCCCGGCACGGTCACTTTGAGGATTCGAATTGCGCCTCGATCTACTCTGACCATCACCATCAGCAGCACCTCTCTCTTCGTCTTTGCGAGGACGCTTATAACTTGCCTCCACGCCGCCATCTCTCCTCCTCGCGTCATCGTGACGCCGCGGCAATGACTCAGATCGATGATCGACGGTAGCAGTAACATTTCGCTCTAACGCCGGGCGACGCGGCCTAGACGCAGAGGTAGTAGTCGTACCAACTCTAGGAACCGATGCCAACAACCTTGCTCGCTCCGACACCCTCGCGTTAGACTCCAATCCGGCATCCATGGCTCTCCTCTCGCGAGCTGATGGTTTCTTTGCGTTGTCCGACATCTCTGGTGAAGAATTCGACAAAGTAGCTCCGAAGCGACGAACAAGAGCTTCTCTGACCCTGTGTAAAGAAAAGTCGTCCCTCCAGCTACACTTCTCCGCAACTAGGTCGTCACGAAGAACAAACAAGTCTATCGGCAACTTTGCAATGCGGCTCAAAATTGCAAAACAGTAAGCAAGAGGATAAGAGGGTTAGCATTGAAACGTGAATACTTAAACAGGCAAGAATCACAAAGAAACGGTAATGAATGTCAAATACTACCGCGAGTCCCCCATTTTTCTCGAAGCATGTCTAGATGACCGCGGCCGACAGAAGCTTCATTGATTTTCACAAAGAAAAACTTTTCCGACCAAAAACGATATGTGTTGGAAAAATCTCTAATAACTTGGAGATTTGTTTTGGCATTAAGGAAATAGAGGAGTTTGTCCTTGGAGCCAGTCTT